TCTGGAGCTCCCTTCCAACCCCCAACGTTCTTCCCTGTTTTCTTCGCCAGGTTCAAGAGCTGCAGCTGGAAAGGGAGATGGCCCTCGCCTCCAACCGCAGCTTGGCCGAGCAGAACCTGAAGTTCCAGGCGCCGCTGGAGACGGGCCGCGCCGACCTCTCCAACAAGTACGAGGAGCTGCAGAAGCTGGCCGAGCGGTGTAAGGAGCAAAAAGAGAAGCTGGGTGAGTGCCCGTGGGGTCACGTGGGCTGTCGCTCGTGCAACATCCTTCCCTCTTCGCCCTGCTACCTGCTCCGAGGAGAAAAACTCTTTAGGGTAGTGGCAGAAAGGACTCTGCCGCGTGTAAAAATCTGTGTTCTGTTTCCTCTGCGGTTGGGCAGAGCGAAGATGCTGGCCCAGCAAAAAAAAAAAGGAAAAATTCTAGTGCGGCAGTGGCTCAGGTTCTTTTCAGATTTTTCTCCTCGCATCATCAGTTTTCGAGGCAGCTGGTACAAGTGCACCAGGGCTGCGTTCTTATGATTTTTTTTTTTGCCTCGTTTGAGTTTAATCTTTTCCTCTTTGTTTCCCCCAGAGAAGTTTTCAGCTGCGCTGCATCCTCAGACCTTGCTGGATCTCCTGCAGGTGGAAAGCCAGAAAATCGAAGAGGAGTCCGAGGTGAGCTTAACATTTCCATCCATCAGCAATTTCAGTGATTTAGCCCTCAAGATACTTGTAATCCTGCTCTCAAACCTAATCCTTTCAATCCAAAATTATCTCTTTTTGGTTTGGCAAAAAAGAAAATAATGGGATTGCCCTTTGTTTGCTTCTGTGTGTGGTGTGATGGGTCTCTCTCAGCTGAGAGGGGCTCACAGGGATGTGACGCTGAACTCGGGGCTCTTTTCTCTCCCAGAAAATGGCCGAGAAGTTCCTGGAGGGCGAGGTGCCCCTCGAGACGTTCCTCGAGCAGTTTGCCGTGGCGAGGAAGCTGTCCCACTTGCGCCGGGTCAGGGTGGAAAAGCTGCAGGAGATCCTGAGGAAGTTGGAAGCGTCGCGGGAACCCG